TACATACATACATACAAACATACATATATATACTAGGAATAATGGGTCTCCCATCTTTATTACCAGCTTTCCATACAGACAGATAGATGTTACTGTATTTTTGGAGCAACTTTACAACCCAATCTCTGGCCTCACCACTTGTGATTCATCAAACAAAGCCCATATTAATGAGGTCTATGTATTTAGTGTTATAGTTCAACGAAAACAAACTAAACTATACATATGTAACCAAACAAAAATCTTATTTGATTAGTTGTTGGTCCATATGCACATGGATGCAGTTTTAGATTCCCAAGCAATAATGATGATGAGCTCTCAGCTACTTTTGCTCTTTTAGTTTCTTTTAACTCAGCTGCAAGATAATGTGTAGGGAATTGAAAAAGAAATGCAAAAATTTCAACTTTAGTTTGGTAATGATGATGCCCAAAAACGAAAAACTTATCACACCGGTTCTATGGTCACTCACTTTGAGTGGCTACGGAGGACACTGTACGTCCTGATTGAAATGGTGGTGGGAACTATCAATTTTGCAAACGGAGAACGGTAGGTGTCCCAATTAGGACAGTGTTCTCTGTGGCCACTCAAAGTGAGTGGCCATAGAACCAGACCAAAAACTTATATGCTACATACTTGGCAGTTGCCACTAGCTAGTACTCAAAAATGGTGAGTAGTGAAGCCAAGACTTGTTTTAAGAGCTAGCTAGAAGTTAAAAAAAATAAGAACTTCTTCATATAAACTTTATCAGTATCCAACTAAAAACAGAGTCTTTCTGCGTTAGATCCTTGATATGCATTGCTGCATTTACAGTCTAAAACTTCACCGAGGGTAAGAAAGAAACAAGAGATGTTTAATGTTAAATTTTGATTTAGAACGTTGTTTATCTGAAGCTAAAACATTATTTTAAAAAACGACTCTTTTAGCTCCATTGGCCGTAAATGTCCCGGTTAAATGACGGGGAAAAAGGAGTAGATAAGGCCAAAGTTGGAGGCAGGCATGCTCACACCAGCTGCAATGGCATCAATCAAATAGTGCAAAAGTAAATTCTTTTTTTTTTCTTTTGTGCTCTTTATTCTATAAGTGATGTGCAGACTTTAATGGCTAACTTCCATTTACATTTTACAGTGCTCTGCCTTTACAAATGTGGTGAGTGAGTGAGTGAAAACTATAAGTTCCATTGAGATGAGTGAACCAAGTGGTGTGTGCACTTAGTGGCACTATGCAAAGCTTGTGTTTAAAACTCATGGGTCTATTTGCTTGTCAGTCAAATAATTATTATTGCAAAATGCCTCTTCCTCTGTCCATGTGGCCCTCACCCTGCATTTTGGTAACTCTCTTGCCAGTTGCTATATGTAGTTTTTTCAATTTATATTTATATTTTTGTGATCCCAAAAGTGAGTTAGACCATGTTCTACACAACTTGTATTTTTTACTTACTACTTATTGTTATTAGAACCAGATCAAAAATGACTTTAAATATAACTACATTCTAATCAAATCAAATCGGATCAAATTTCATTCCAACAAGATCAGAATCAATCAAGATCATAATAATCTCTGTTTTCATTATAAATTATTTTCAAGTGTATTATTCATAAACTTCCTCTTTTTTTTGCGAATCAGTTTGATTTCTTTTTTCTTCCTATTATTGTGCATTAAACATTATGTTATGCATAAAACAACTTATTCTCATGAAGGTGGAGGTTGGGTTCTGTTGTTGAATAACATGGTGCAGTTTGCAGGATTTTCAATTGTCAAGCTGAATTCTCAAATCTTTCCTTAGAATGCCACTTGTGTCCTTAACTCCCTATAAAAGTAACCTCATCATGCACCTTATGGCATAAACAAATTATATTATGAAAGGGAAGAATGAGCACGAAGAATAAGTTGAGCACGACAACACCTTAACCAGGCTAGAAAATCCTACTCCCCTAGTACCTTGATGTATGATAGTTGATTGATATTATTTTCAATACAATTGGTTTAGAATTCAAAACTAAAAATTACTCCGGGTATATATTTAAAAACTAAATAAACAATTCTAAAAAACAAGTAGGAACTTAACTTTTTATTTTATCAAACGTTCAATGAAAGAGTACAGAAATATAGTTTGATCATGTGAATAGTGCAAGACCTTCCTATTGATGTGGCCTGTGGGCTCTTGAGGAATATCAGACTTAAATCACCTAATTAAGCCCAATCTAAAGGGGTAGTCTCCCAAAGATCTTCCCTACTTATCTAGGATCAAATGTTTAATGTTTTGTAACTAATGAAGGGGTAGTCTCGAATACCAAAACAACTAATGAAGGGGTAGTCCCTTAATGTCAATTTTGATGGAGGGTTTTGAGTAGAGCTTAAGACTTTGGAAATCTTATTTTATGTCTTCAAAAAACAAATGTTACTTAAAAACAGTTGATTGAAATGGTATAAGCTCTCAACCATCTCTTCTTCAGAATCAAAGGGTGGGAAATCTCATGCCAAACCAATTTAGCCAAAGAAGAGCCTATATATCAAGATTTTAGCTTGGCCTTTCGAAAACCCACCATCTAAACCGACCTTAGAGGGTGTTTGGGGTTGTGTTTGAAAACTAGTTTTAAACTTATGTTTCATCAAAATGCAGTTTAACGTGATTTGCAATATGTTTGTGCTTATAGCTCATGGTTTTGAAAGTGCAAAATGAGCTCTAGATGTGTTTTTTCAGCAGAGCTAAGACTAAGAGGGTGTTTGGGAGTGTGGTGAGTTACGTAAAAGTAGAAGTCATAATTTAGAAGCAGAAAGCATGTATTTTTAGCTTTGCTAGAAAGTACTTCTAGACCTTAAGTTTAACTTCTAAAGTTATAATTTATAAGCTAAAGAAGATTAGCAAACATTTAAAATTGTGTTTTAGTAAAGTAGAAGCTATAAGTTATTATCAAATGCAATCTCAAACACCCTCTAAGTGCTTTCAGCTTCTGCTGATAACTTCTGTGAATCTACCATAGGCCTAAGGCCTAAACACCCTCTCAATCAATCTTAAAGGCTTAAATCCTTCTATCAAAGGGGATTTACTTTTTAACTAAGCACCACTCTATCCAATATTGACGTATTCAACATTGCAGCTATGCATAATGAATACACAGATGAGCAGAGGTTAGCATTTCCATATAGATGTAAGCAAAACACTAAATATATCAGATTCGTATCAAATTACCCGAAATATACAATTAGAGATACAAATTCATTTTCTTCACAAGAATTTGGAATGAGTGTTTTTTTTACATACCTCACAATGTGACTAAAGTATTGAACCACACAACAAAATCAAATTTTTTTGTCTTTCCATCAAAACCTTTTAGGGTTAGTGTCCTTCAAAAGGACTGGCTGGTCAGTCATGGAGAGGCAATACTTGGCAATTTCTCTAAACTTTGGGACACTTCTCAAGTCAACCTTAGTCCCATCCTTGAGAGTGATGACTATATCTCCCCACTCTCCTATAAACCTAGGCACAACCTGAACCTCCTTGATTACCTTGTAGGAAAAGTCGACTCTGCCCTTCCCTGTGAGACCTGAGATCACAGTGACCCTCAGATTCGAGAATCTGTACCTGAGATTGAAGGCTCTGATTAGTGCGGCCAGAGACAGCGGCAGCCAAAGAACAGTGAAACCCAGAAGAAGGTTCGCTACGAGGTCTCCGTAGTGAGATCCGCCGTCGAAAAAGACGGTTTCTTGGGTGGGTTTGGCGACGGCGGCGGAGGGCGGAGACGGCTTGGAGGACGCGTGGACTCTGGTGATGGGTCTCGTGGATTTGGGGGTTCGGGAAATGAGGAATGGAGGTTTGGTGGCTGCGTAGAGAGAATGGATGGGGATGGTGGCGGGGGACTGGGAGAGGAGGAGAGAGCAAGAGATGTTTGCGGCCATGGAAGCGGTTTATCCGTTGGTTCGGATCTTTTAGGATAGAAAGTAGTTGAGGGCCGATTTATCTACCAAAATACGAGTAAGAACTAAAATTCTCCCTAAGTTTAAAAAGTTGTTAGACATCCAAAACGGAAGAGAGAGTAAAAAAAATGAAATAAAATATTCATCTTAGAAGTTTATTTAAATAATTGGACAATTGGAAAAAGTATTCCTCGTCACAATAATTTACAATCATTAACGATACAACTAGCATATTATTTACAAGTCTCATTATATAATTAATGAAAAAGAAAACAATAAGAGTAACATTTTAAAAAAAAGGTTAGTGACATTTGATGTGACTATGAAAAGTAAAAGAAAACAATTATTGAAAATAAGAAGTTTGGGCATAAAGTAGAAAGGAAAAAAAATAGGGTGGTGGCGTAGCTCAACTGGTCGAGAGTGTAATGCAACATAAGGCTTACCCAGATTCGAAACCCGTCAACAAAAAAAGAATGAGCTTGTTAAGCATGAGGTATTAGCATGTACGCTCGACTAGACTGAGAATATAATCAATTTAATTCCTGCATGCCTAATGTCCATACTCGTAGTGGAAGGGGGAGGGAGACCCTAGCGAAAGAGGATGGCAGCTTAAATTTGAGAATATGAGATATTACTTTGATGTGATAGTGTGTATAAGTAAAAAATAAAATGTAAACATTTTAATGGGAGACAAAAAAGTGTAAACTTATAAATGAGACACGCGGAGTAATAAGGAGAAGCTAGAGCCATCTCCATCGTGAAAGTCTTGCAACACACGAAGACAATGAGAGTAGAGTTTAACTTTCCGAATACCTTGAATCCTCAACCAAGATATGCTTCTCGGCATGCTATAGCTTCGCCGATCAAAATAAATATTTGTATTTTATTATGTTTCTCTTTAAACAAAGTTTTATTGTATAATTTTCACTAAATTAAAAATATAAAGTAGTGATTAATTTACGAAGTAAAAACTAAACTATGAGACCACAATAGTAGATGAAGATGAAAAGTCATTTTTCTAAAACTTGTGTTGCATCTGTTTATAGCAAAAACTCAATATGTAAGTATGTAATTGTTGAAAGTATTACAAAGTATCTTACTTCAACATGTGAAAATAGTTGACATCACAAAACATATAAGAGTACTTAAAACACATTTCATATTCCTACCTAAACTTAGAAGTTTGTAAATGTGTTTGTTTCTTCTTTCACATTGAAGCTAGAACTTGCTCAATTATACTACAAGAATCTCATTTGTGCCCCTGGTTTTCATTAGTGGTGTGTTGGGTGCTTCTAACTTATATAGACTACAGAGTATTTGTAGGTTTGTCGTTCTACATTTTAAAGTCTTTTTTTATCATTTATGTTGATTATTATAATTTGTTTTTAAACACGCTAAGAAAATCTTGCATTTGACAACATAGTATCTCACCACACACAAATAGTTCCCATAAAGACGATTATTGTGTGTGTTAGAGGCTACGAGGTGATCTAGTCTGAATGTAGTTATATTCAAAACTATTTCTAATCTGATTCCAATACGAATAAGTAACAAGTAAAAAAAAGTTCAGGAGAACATGGCCTAACACAACAATAATCCCAATAAAATCCCAGAAATGGATATATGGGTAGACGAGCCAAACACTGAAAAAATCTACTCCAAGACCACTAACCAAAATATAACTGGGCACCAATGAATGCACCATGAAACTGCGCTTATAATACAGATTGCCTAATCTATATCTCTAATCTGTCTGTAAAAATAACAATGAATGCATCTTCCAGTGACTAAAGCAACAGCTATACAATGCCAAATCATGTAAACAAAAAAAAAGTAAAAGAATTGTTAACTGCCCCCCTAGCTAGCTATCATGTCAGTATTACATGACTTTCATACCCTTCCCACAATCCCGGGAGACAAAAAATATTAGAAAATTGGCTGTGGAATTGACGGCCAGTTGCACGGGTAATAGCTGGAAATTTACCCTTCAGTATATCTAAGGATTTGCCGTTTTACCTTGTAAGGGGCTCGGTGACTCTGTCAGGAATTTACAGTTATCCAAAATGGAAGCCGGTTGATGAACTATAAGAGCTTGAGATGTTTGGAAGCTTGAGAGTGGCGATGATACCAGCACCAAGGGCAAATATGGACGCTATGGCAAACGCTGGTATGTTTCCTCCCCCAAATAAAGCGTCCCAGGGACCCGCACCAAGCGACACAATCATCTAACAAGGATAGTGATCGTATCATCAATCATAGAGCAAATGAAATCATTCAAGGAATCATTTACTCTTTCTTTTTTTGAGGCCTTGTTTACTCTCTATTCTTTAAGTACCGGATCAATAGAGATTGGCGATGGCACATAATTTTGGATAGTTGTTTGTAGTTTGTATGTAAGGAAATCGTATACAAAGAGCGCATAAAAAACAGGATTTTGGGCAAAAACAGATTATCATCTAGTTATAATGGAGAAAATGCAGATATAATTACAAGATAAACCACAGTCTACCTGTGGTATGACAATAGCAAGGTTGAGTACTCCTATGGCCAAGCCTGCAAACAAGAACAAAAATGTCAAGAATCATATGAATTGTGAAGCTATCCAACAGACAATACACGCTACATAAAAGTATTTTTTTTCAAAAAAAACTACCTTGTCCACCCCCAGCATCAGCTGTCAACTCTGCTGTGATGGAGAAAGGAACACTGTATGTAACCTACCATCAAATAAAGTGGGATCAATTAGAAGTTGAAGTTTTTTAATTGTTAGTGCCTTAGTGGCGTGTGTAAATACAGTTGGATAATGAATTAGAAGCAGTGTAAGAGCTTACAGCAAGGGGAATGCCAAGAAGAGCAAAAACGATCAGTGAGGATATTCTAGTAGCATCAGTTGCCCCAACAATGTGTTGAACTCCGTTTGATGATACACTAGAGGAAACAAAGCTAATAATTGTAGTCCCTGCCATGCAGACGAACACCATAAAATTGCTAATGGCCCAAACGAGTCTTGCACCAATCCATTGACACATTGGATCAATAAAGAAAGATGTTATGCCAAGAAGAACCTGTTCAAAGAGAAACTCTCAACCAACAATTTTTTTCTCAATTTCAGTGAAGTTTTGTTATACTAGGAAAAGAAGAACCAGGATACTAGAGAGTTTGGATGATGTTTAATTTTGAGTTCTTACAGAATTCAATAGCAAACCAAATGCACCTTCTCTGACACCTTGATTATAAGCTTTTACTTCAGAAACATCTCCATTTGGATCCCCATGATAGACTTCTCTTCCCATCCAATCAGTGTCAAACAGGAAAAAGGGGAACCAAGACAACTGGTTGCAAGAGTCACAAACACAGCATTAGTGAATGGACGAAACTGAGAAGATAAAAGGCAACAATTATTACAAATTGACGCTTTTTCATAACTGTAAATATATAGAACTCAACAGATAGTAAATCATGATCGAGCATTTACCCATGTCAATGCCATGACAGCAAGTACCGAATGCATAGCAGGAGGTAAATGTCTTAAGCTGGTCAATAGATTAACTAAAACTGCAGCAGGACTATCATTAAAGCTATCAGGTGGATCATTCTCTGTTCGGTCTTCGTGTTTTAGATTATTATTATTATTCTCATCCATATAACCATTCTCAGATTTGTTGACAGATACGAGGTTGATGGGCTGCATGTCATTTTTTGGTTGTGAAATATCAAATCCAGCATCCGGAGGACTATCCAAGAGAGGGGAAGAATCTGACAACCGGTGATGTTTAATGGCCATCAGTGGGACTTCCTTGGCAAAGTAGAGAGTAATTAGAGTACACAGCGCCAAAAACACCTGTTTGTGAATACAAAACACACAATCAGGGAATGAAACAAAAACAGTAGAGAGAATTTCAGTGTTTAACTAAAGTGCTTTAAAGTATTCTCACATGAAAATAAAAACGGAGTAACCTATAGAGCATGCTGTACTCAAACATATTATGAAGAAAACTATTAGCATCAGATTGAATTCTTCCTAATGTGCAGAATATAGCGTGTAGAACAAGTTTGACCAACTTCAAGTATGAATATGAAAGATCATAATTTATCTCCATCTAGCATATAATGAGGGCAATCAGTGAACAATACACAAAGCTGTATCCGCATACCTCCGTATTACCGTATATATAGTTTTCACTGCTAAACATTAATCATAGTTATATCTTCTAGTGGTTTCTAGGGCAACAAACAATTGTACATGAAGGATACTATTGTATTAAAGCTATGAAACAAAATTCCTTGCAACACTACATGTAGTACTATCATGGAAATCCATCAGCAAAGAAATATTAAAGATAAAAACAAGAAAGGAGGGTGCCTTGTCATAAGGAAATAAATGTTATTGCATACAAATCCTACACTGCAGGAACTATTTACAGGAGTAAGTGCCTATTGTTCAAGGCTTCTAGCCTTTCTCTAAGCAACTAACTCACCACGGCGACTAAAAAAGCTGCCTTGAGGTTCCCACATGGCTCACAGCAAGCTCTGCTCATCAGAAAAGGAAACCATCTATCCAGAAACAGAGTACCAATAAAAGAATTTTAGGCATTTAGTGTCTTCTGATCATAACCTAATAAACAGAATACATATTTTTAACATTGAAATAAGATTAATGACAGTGGAATGCATAACATCAATTTGTGACTTCTTGAAAGAAGAAGTTGTTGACCTATGCCAATTTCCACTGGCTCCAGCTGAAAATCCTAAAATATTCCCAACAGCCATCCAGGAACAAAATATAGCATTTGCAGTATTTCTTTGCTCGGGACCTGTCATTATAGCAAAGATGTTTAGCTTTCACCACAATGGAAACAATGTAGAGTATAGAAATTACCAATCACCATTTCTCATACCAGTATGACATAGTTATATACCTGATAAATCAGCCAAAAGAGCTCGAGCTGGGCCCTGCAAATAATTATAAAAAGAACATTCTTTCATTACGTCTCCCTAAGCAAAACTTGATGGCATCATAGCTGTACACCCAACTTGCATGCGTTTTTTGCACTAACCTGTACAGTATTGTTTGCAAGATCCAACATCCAAAATCCGATAATAAACACTATAGCAGCCCTTGTTCGAGTACCTTTGAAAGTGCTGTATTATTTCAATCTGGTTACAACCTTCACATCAAATACTAGGAATTTTCATAAGGCAGGAAGTAATAAAAACCTGCAGTGCTCCTTTGTGTCGCCTAAAATGTATCCTATGTCTGCAGAAAACCCAATTACTATTACCTACATTGTAATATCAAGTTAGCTAAGATATTTGTTACGGGATGGTGAATTACAAGTTAGTGTGAATGTATGAAGTATGATAACCTAAAGATAAATAGAAGTATTTAGTGCTCACAGCAAAGGATATCATGAGAGATCCAACAAATATAAAAGGTCGTCTTCTGCCATACTTGGAGGAGCACTTATCACTCCATATTCCAACGCAGGGTTGCACCTAATAGAGACAAAATTGATAAATTATGCTTAAACTTTACCAAATAAATGAAAAGATTATTACGAACTTTCATTCCCTGCAGAACTCATAAGTACCAAAAATTGGGAGTTCAAACCCACTAAGTTGATTTCTCATATCAATTAACTGTAAAACCCACTATCTTGGAAAGCAGTAAATCCATAGAGTTCCGCCTTCCTGGTAAAACTTGGAATTGACCTTACTGCTACAGTTTTAAATATTAAAGGTGAGATTAAGGACCAATTTGGTGGAATCTTTTTGGACTTCCTAGCCTGAGCCGTATATCCAACAATTTTACAATAATATACTCCGTAACAGTTTTAGGATTTATATGTACAGTGATTCAATATAAGTCTCCCCAACTATACTCTAAGGAAATTCAACTCATTCAGTTATTTCAAACAATTTAAGCTCACACCAAAAGGAGCCTACAATAACACCAACAATCATGCAACTTGACAACAACAACCCAGTATTATCCCAACTCCATTGGAGTCTGATAGTCAAGATGTACAGTCTTATCCTCTAAACATATAGTCTTCTTCCATAGGACCCTTGATGAATTGTTACATTTACTGCCCAAATTTTCATAGAAAGTAAGAAGCAAAGGAAGTTTAATGCGTTATTTTGATTTAGTCCATTATCTGCCCGAAGATAAAATGTTGTCAATAATGACTCTTTTGGTTGAATTCACGAAGGACAGCTTGACTACCACTGTATTTATTATTTAACCAAAACAATTGCCAGTTTGCCACCTAACATTGAAAATCTTTCAGTCAACTATACTCCAGCAAGCCAGTTTAGATGTTATGACAGTTGAAAAGATACGAATGAAAACCTACCACAAGACCTGTAATTGGGCCACATAGCCAGATAAAAGAAGAGAAGGCGTGTTGTATGCCAAGAGTCTGCAACCAAATAGAGACGGCAAACATAAGCAATTTTTACAATGGAAATTACAAACAAGCATGTGAAACTTTAACTAGCTACAGGTTAAGGAAATGGTCCTTGAAAAAATTCAGATTGATGCATCTAGCTGCACACAAAATAATTCAAGATGTAAGAAATAGCATAAGAAATCTCGGTAAACATTTGAGCCCAAAATAATACTCGTGCTACTATTGTGTGGACACCAAAAGATCCAAGGCAAAGGCTTTACTTGGCCATAAACTCCTTATTTTTTTCACAAACAAAAAAGAACCATATAAAAAGGCAGCATTTTCAGTTTTCACGATACTCTACCAAAGCATCTGGGCAAGAATCAATTCCACAGTCCACACCAGATTCTAGAAATGCAATTTCACTCTGTGCAGTTCAAGCTACCTAAAATGGTAACCACTTACCACTAAACAGATTGAATTTTACTATAATTGACATAGATGCTATTGTCTGTTCAAGTTGCAATTGTGCAAAAAGTAATTGCAAGTTGGAATCAAATGCTCACTCAGCCAGAGAAGATATGATCCAGCACTCCAAACCCTAAAAAACTACTGTACTAAACAATGCACAGAAACAAAACTGTAGCGGCAGCGAGGAACACCTGAATGTAAGGGGTGAGGAGAGACAGTTGCAACGCCCAGCCAAATTGGACACCGGCGGCGACCGTACAGCTGAGGATCAAAGTGAGAAGGTTGCTGCGAGGCTCAAGCGGCGGGTGCGAACTGGCGGAGTCTCCATTGGAATCCGTGGGAGGTGACGGAGGCGAATCTACCTGCAACCGCCGCAGATGAAGCTCATCCGCCCCAACCAACTCCACCTCCTGCTTCAAGTTCTTATACGGCACCCTGATCGACACCGCATCCATCATCTCCGCCCCCTTGCCGCCGTTCCTTCACCTGATCCGATTAATTTACGCGCAATTCTTTACATCTAGATTTACACGGATCAGGAGTATGAAATGGATTTAGCTCAAACGAAGTGACAGGATCCAAATAGAGATCAATGGCAGTGTGTGTGATTAACGATTCCAGAAAGAAGACGCAGATCAAAATTTGGGCGCGCTGCGTTTGATCTTCCCAGGTGAATTGTCGGTCGGGTCAATGTAATGAAATCAAGATTCAAAGAATGACTATAAAAAATAAAGAATTGCAGTATTATTGAACCTTTACCTTGCATTGAAATGTTGAAGCACTGATTTTTTTTAAAAGTATTTGTTTTGTTTTGATTTTTATTTATACAGTTAGCTAAGAGAGACACTTGATGGGTAATTAAATAAAAATTACATTATATATTAATTAAATAAAATACTATTTTAAAAATATTTTATAAAATAAATCTAATTAAGCATAGTCCACCCGAATCGAATCTCATTCATCATATATATTCCCTCCGTCCCAAAAAAAAGATTTTTAGTTTGACTTGACACAAAATTTAAAGAAAGCAAAAATGTATGGTTGAAAGTGATACAAAGGAGAAAAAATATTGTGAGCCATTTAAAGTTTTCCGTAAAAAGAAAGATGAGTCTTTTTTGGGACGTTCTAAAAAAGAAAATAGGGAATCTTGTTTTTTGGAACGAATGGAGTATTTGGATGATGAACAAGAAAATCATCTAAATTAATTTCACTCTTTTGATCAAGCATGTTGGATGCGATCTGGTTTAGGGTGCGGTTGGAGATGGTTCGTCTTAGATCATGTGGCGTGAGTGGCTCATGGTGCGCCGTGACCCACTTGGCGCCACCTCACCCCCTATCACGTCGTGCGCACTGTCCCCCTTAGGTTTGACTGTGATGGTGGTGATGTCATCGTGGGCACCACGACACTCCTCCTCTCCAAAGTAACTGTGGCAACGACGTTTCCCTTTTTATCAACTCCCTCTGTTTCAAGAAACTCTTTCTCTTTTGACTTTTAGCCAAAATAAAAAAAGTATATTTATAGTTAATTTTCCAATTTTGCCCCTGATGTAATGGTTAAAAGTAAAATGTGATAGGTAGTCTATTAAAAATCGTTTTCTAATAGAAACTAGAAGTGTTTTGGGGTAATGGAAAAAAATGAAAGAGTGATGGTTTATTAAAACGGAGGGAGTATTATTTATTTATTTAAACTCATTCTCTCTAGTCATATGAACACACTTTCAACTCTTCTTTTCTACTCCAATTCCGATGAAGCATAAGGTCTCTTTATTACTACCATAGCCCAGTCTGTTTAAATTCTTACACAACAACAAGAAAACGACGAATCCTAAAATATAGAAAAGTTTGTTTTGCTATGGGTATGATGTAAAAGTTTTAACTCCTTTAAAAACTTTGTTTTTTATTATTGTAATTCATATAAAATAATGTTGTCCTGGAATTGTATTTTTGAATTTCTAAATGTTATGTTATAGTAACACGGTTTTAGGCACGACAATAGTCATGAAATTAAGCCTTGCCTTTTCGGTATCGAATTTTTAAAAAGGCAAGGATATGGAACGACGTTATCCGTGCCTATTTTTTTGGGGTTAACACCGTTGAAAGAAACCGGTTGCGGTCTAACTATTGGGATAAGTGATAACTACATAATAACACTTCGTATATGAGTACAATTCTTTTGATATTCATCATGGATATCATATTATAACATTGATCATTTGAAAATCGTTCGTACAATTATACTTTGTTGGATTCAAAAGTTAATATTGTAGCATATAGGCTAATTGGCAGAGATTTGTGGGAGGTTAAGAGACTCACTTCGGGATCCAACGGAGCATAGTAGGGCCCGCGCTCTGAATTGATCGAGTCATGACATCCGCAATACAATAATGTGTATCAAGATTAAAGAACCGTATCGTGTGGATATAACATATAATATATTTATGAATAAATTCTACTCTACTAATTATTGAATTAATTAATGAAGATATGATGATTGACTAACAATAGTAATTGTCAATAAATGAAATTATTGGATGAGTAAGCTTCTAATAAGGGCAGCTTGGGCAGTGTCAGCATCAATGGACTCCAAGAGCTGCCCCAACCGGTCACTCAAGTCGTCCACTTCCCTGTGTAGGCTCCTTATGTAGTTGCATGTCTCCTGCAACACCTTCGCCGCCGATACCTGCACCACCCCGCCGCCACCGTCCGCGCGCACACAATTTCCATTACAAATTAAATGCGAGGTAAAAAACATGAAATATTTGCGCTAAATGGCACCAAAAGTCAAGTCATTTCTCTAAATAGCACTTAAATTGTTTTATTCCCTAAATAGCACTTAATAATGTCCATAATGTCCAGTGATGACGAATATTTGCTTGAATAATGACTAATGCATAATGACTAAAAGTGCTACATTAGGAAGAAAAACACATATAGTACTATTTAGAGAAAGTCATTATGTTTTAGTGCTATTTAAGTAAATTCCTCAAAAAACATTTCGAACGACATGAAAAAAGTTACTCCCTTCCTTGCAGGGTATTTGCCTCGTTTGATTTTTCCGAGTCAAACAGAACAGATATTGAGCTTCATTATATGTTGAGCTTAGTCGTGACAAAAATGCGAAAAAAATTACGTTGTGTTTCGATATAAATGTAATCTCAATAATGCTTTTCTCAAGCAAACTTTGAAATACAAATATTAATTTTTTAAATAAAATATATCTATGTATAATATAAATATCGATATTAATGTTTAAAATATTCTTTACATTGAAAACCATAAAAAAACATACTCCCTCCGTTCCTTTAAACACTTCCTATTTTGACTTTGGGCCAAAATAAGGAAAGTACTCCGTATAATTTTGGTTGACTTTCCAATTTTGCCCCTGATGTGATGGGTAAAAGTAAGATGTGATAGTTTGATTATTAGTGAAAAAGTATGATGTGATAGGTGAGGTATGAAAAAGTAAGGGTAAAATTGGTTTTTAATAGAAAGTGGAAGTATTTTAGTGAATTAGAAAAAAACGAAAGATGAAGGGTTTTATGGAACGGATGGAGTATGAAAAAATTAAATTGGGACAGGAGGAAAGGTAAGTAATTAAAAGAAGAGGGTACCCTGTCGGAACGGGAGTTACGGATCTGAGGGAGGAGGCGCTGCAGCTTGGAGACGAGGTCGGCGACCTGGTCTTCCGTTATCCTCGGCGCCGGCGCCGGAACTCTACTTGACGGTCTCCCCCTCCGGCTCCCCGACATTTCCCGCCCTTTTATTATTTATATACACTCCGTATGTACGTACGTACTACAGAGTATATCACAAATACGTACGTACAAAGAGAGAGAAAATGAAATATGAGAGAGATTATCTGTGTTTGTAGTTAGTTATATGCTGTACGTAGGTAGCTAGCTAGGGCTGAATTTATAGGACTTTGGAGAGAGAGAGAGAGAGAGAGAGAGANGGGACTGTGTTGGAGAAATTAAACACCAAAGAAACAGTGTTGGAGGTGAGGAAGACAAGTGCATGGGAGATTGCTTCCTACTTGCAATTAAATTAAACTCCTCCTATTGGAAAATTTGTGCCCTATTTTGTATTCCGAATGCATTCATCAATATTTGTGCCCTAGTATGATGGTTTACAGTGACACGAAATATCACTGCAATTTTTTTTATTGAACTGACATTTTGTGCAGTGTAAACCGTTAAAATGCTAGTGCATTCCTACCTCTAGCATGGTTGTTCCTACAATCCTACTTATGTCCTTTGAGAGAATTTGCAATGGGCGAGGGGATCGCAAAGTCCACGCACCGCTCGGTGGGGTTGGGTGCGCAATGGCCAGCTATTGCAGGCGACAGAGTTGCGCCCGGCGTCGCAACACGTGCCGGACGTCAGGTCTAGGGCGCGGCGCGGGCGAAGAGGCAGTGGCGGCCTCCGCAACGTCCTTTGCAGACGACCACCACGCCGCTGGAGGGGATTTTTTGCTTTTCGAGTTTTTTTAAATTTTCAACTTATAAACTCACCACATCTTCAACTCTAATTTATCCACTAACTAAACTCTTATCTCACTCAATTTACTTTCATCCCAATCTCCAAAAACACAATATTTTGCACTCCCTCCCTCACATTAAGTCGTTCTCGTTTCAAAAAAAATGCGTCCCACAATCTCCTTCCCATTAATTTCTATCAAAAAACCACTTTTACTCTTTACTTTTTCAAACCCTGTCTATCACATCATACCTTTAGCCTAATAATCTCCACATCACATCTTACTCTTATTCATCACATCAAGGGTATTTTTGGAAAACCAACACAAAATCATCCCCCCCCTTAGTTTCACACTTTAGTCAAAACATCCATATCTTTATGGGACGGAGGGAGTATTTCACTGTGTTTCATTTATTTGATAAGGTAAAAATATTCTTCTCACATATTATTTTATCAAACTTTTGATGTAATTTTGAAATATACAAGATTTATTTTTTATTTCTTTACTGCTCTTTATATATTTTTTTTTTCATTTTGCACAATGTATGATCTATTATGGGACATGAAGTAAAATATAAAATATACACCCACACTTCAGTTTTAGGGATATCCCCCCCACCCCCCCTTCAGTCTCTCCCGCATGTCATCATGGCACTCTATAGTTACATGATAGGGATGACAATTTCTATCAGATCTATGGATAGCCGATATGATCTACCCAGACTGTCCTCCTGAGTTCCAAAAAGAAAAGAAAGATAGACGGATGATGGATGAATTATTGATGTATTAGAGCGGTTGCGGATGGATATATATGTTTCTCACCCGTCACCTAACACATTCATATTTACTTTAAAAAAACTATAAATGAAAATATATTAACTTTGTTGAGTACAAGAGTTTGTTCTAGCTTCCAATGTTCCATTCTATAAAAAAAATTAGTTTGTAACTTAGATGATTTTTTATTTGCATGATTTTATGATAAAATTAATAATTTCTTATTTTTCTAAGATTTTTTTGGGTGATGGATGCATTAGGTAGTTATAATAGCTAGGTGCTGCATGTAACAGATAATTGATGGATCGACTGATGAATATGAAATCGATGGGTGAATGAGTGTGAAGCTATATCTGATCAAAATTCGATCCGTTGTCATCCCTATTACATGTTGAGATCATGGTCAAAATATATGCAATTTTATTGCTATAAAAAACATAGAAGCAATTTATTTAAGACCCTTGATGCGCTATTCTATGAGTTCCCAAAATTTCATAAAAGATAAGGGCCATAGACTTTTGATGGGATATTTGTGTGTTTTTAACTTTGACCATTAAATTTATTTTGACACTACAATTGACCTCAAAGAGCATACGATATTTTGATCGTAAAATTGATGCATCTTACTCCTACATATGTTACACCTTACTCCCTTCTCTTTCCCTTAATCGTCTTTTGGTATATTTAAATATGTCAAAAGATGATTAAATGAAGGGAGGCTACGGTGAGAGTTTATTAGGGAGAGGGTCAGGGTGGGTAAAAATTCTTAATTTTACGGTCAAAATGTTGTATGTGTTCCTTAATTGAACTGGTGTATGGTAAGAGAGTGATGTAGAAGTGATCGAGTGGTGTGAAATTAGCCTAGATATTGATACAAGAATAATTTTGTTAGATTTATTTTTTACAATATTTTCAAATATTATTTGGTCATATTAATATATGATGTAACTTTTGCGAAGTATTTAATTATATGCTAAATGTTGATCTTATAAGTTGACTGCAAAATGTCAAAATTGAACAAAATACTCTGCGGAGGTAGTATATTATTTCGATCAACTACATTTGAATTAGCTTCAACAAATTTATAAAATATTATTCAACGGTAATTTTAAATTTTATTATTTCCAAATTTAGTTTACTCTAATACTCCGTAACAGAGTAATAATCATAAATGTTGTTCTTAAGTAAAGCCTTCATCCATTGTGCTAAATTAGAGTCCCACATAGAAACTTGAAAAGAAAAAGAAATAGGTTTAAAAAGTTTTTGAATTAAACTAGGTAATCAAATTGAACAAATTCAATCTTGTAACATACTCCCTCCGTCCCGCTATATTCGTCCACTTTTGACTTTTGGAACTGTTCATCTAAGCACTTTGACTCATCAAATTCTCTCAATATGTAAGCCTAAATATAGTCATGCGTGATCTTGTTTGATTTGTCTTAACATATAGATTATTAATATATAATTTCTATAATTTTTTAATATACAAATTACAAGATAAAATGGATTAAAGAAGTGTATTGGATGGTGTGCAAAAATGAAAGTGGACAAATATAGTGGGACGGAGGAAGTAGTTCAATACATATATATACTCATGTAGTATCTTATTTATGGCCTAATCCATTGGTCTTTAAATATTTCTTGGTTAGGCTTTTCACTTCTCACCATATATTTATCTTGCCCGCATGGGTAGCTTAACTAGTCCAAAGAGAGGATGTCAAACTCGTTGATCTTAAGGTCAAATCTCGGCAACGACAGTGTGATAGTTTTATTATATGTTTATAATAGCTCTTTGAGATTATACCATGATTTAACCCCCTCATAATCCTGTCGGGCCAGAGTTTGAGGGCGCCCGGGGTAGGCGTTCCACCATATATTTAAATAATGAGTTTTATCTGTATGAGTTTTACTATTTGTATTTTTCTTTTAAATAATTTAAGACTTCTAGTTCTCCTTCCGTCCAATAATTTCTTTCTTACTTTCTTTTATGGGTTAAATTATCTAAAAAAGAATTCTCCATTTCTAATTTGGAAAAAAACTTTTAATGAATATGTCATTATACCTCTTCTTTTAATCCACTATTCATTTTATTCCATCACATCAAGGACAACACATGAAAAGTCTTTACACTTTTTAATTTTTCTTAATCTCCGTGTCAAGTCAAAGCGGGAAAGAAATTTTTGGACGAATGGAGTACTATTCTTTCCGTTCCAATTTAAGTTATCTGTTTACTATTCACGGACTTAAACTTTAACCACATCCTTTACTCATTTTTGCTACCTATATGAAAAAATAATATGTTCTTGTAACATTTTGTTTTGTAAATCTTTTGGTATAATTTTTTAAACATATAAATTTTATTTTTTATTTCCACACCAACTTTCAAATAAATTGAATTGCATATTATTTCTATCAAACCTCATCTCAGCTGGTAAATAACGTAACAACTATCCAGTTTAAATTGGGATAGAGAAAGTAATAACTAGTCTTAGCTTGCAATAAGAGCATTTACAATGGGGGGTTTTTCTGCCTTACCTCAACTCTTGCAACATCGGCATTCCACTAACTTTTCGCCCGCCCAAAATCTTGCAATGTCATCGCCCAGTTCGTCCTGAAAAGTCATCTCTCCATTTTTTATACTCTGTATTATTCATCATTTTTAATACAATTGCTTTTTTTTAAAGAAATACATATAACTAAAATAAAAATGCTAAGATTGACATTCTTTATTAAAAACAACATTGATATAAAAGACAAAATGTACCAAAATATAATTGCGGAGTAAAAATAAAAAAACAAACGAAAAACCTCGAAATAAAAGACGAAATGAATGAAAATTAATTTGAAGTGAAATATGTTTTGACTTTATTTGGTTGATTTTTTTTTTTTAAAATTGCGCCGTGACGAACCGCCACAAAATGCACCAATTTTTCAGCGCGGCTTAGCGCTGCTCACGGGGCCTGGGACGGTTTTTACGGTGGAAGTGCTGCAACGGAGGGCGTGCGTCACGGCGGAAAACCGCTTGTAAATGCCCTAAGGTCCGCATGCATATATAGAGGGAATTTAATTATTCAACCATCAAATTTAACCTGTCGGTCGGACACATCATAATGTTGACAACTAATTGCTTCCTAAGTGGTAAAACTGTTTCATACTACCTCCTCTGATCTACCTTGTGCCTATAATTTTTTTTCCTTCTTTATCTAACTAGTGAGAGTATAGATATTAATTAAGGGAAATTTACTTAAATAACACTAAAACGTACATAGTGACTTTTCTAATTAGTACCATATGTTTTTATTTCCCAATGTAGTAACATTGTTCAAGTAAATATTCACCGCCACTAGACATCGTACAAACTAAATGTCTAACATTACTTGACATTGTTTCCGCTATTAGACATTATTCAAGTACTATATATTTAGAGAATAAAAAAATTTAAGTACTAGATTGGAAAAGAACACTACAAAAAATCACACGGTTTGACACGAATTTTGGCATGGCACCTAATTTTGATAAATGCCTAACAAAAAGAGGAAAAAGAATTGACATATGAATAATATAATAGCTAGATTTTAGTTGTAAAAATGAAGATAATTCATTTGCA